TATGGCTTTCTCTCTCCAAATGCACATACTCAATAGCACTCAACCAAGCCTAGTCAGTCTTCTGGTCTGTATTCCTGACCTCTAATGCTCGTTCTCAGTGATGGATTCTGGATTGCTGGAAGATAGCAAAATTATCTTTTATTATCCATTTTAGACCCCGTTTGAAAGATTTTTAGCCCTTGCAAAGGTAACAGAAACAAAAGAAGGTTAATGAGGGAAAGCAGGAGGAAGATGCAAACACAAATTTGTGTCTGAATTGTAGGAAGGCAAAACTAGAGTCCATTTGAAAGAACAGTCTCTTGTATTCAGCTGCCCCGGTACTAGTACTATTATGCAAAGGTACTTTACAAGTAGTTTTAGATCAATAGATGATTTTCTAGGATGTTTACTTGCTTTTGTATTCTTGGTACTGTCTCACATGGGGTGAGATTGGGAAGGTACAGATGCTAACGACAACCAAGAAGCAATTTTTCTCCAACATTTTGCCCCGTTTCTAAATCAAAGTTTGATTTGTCTGAGTTTGCACTCCTTTCTTCTTAATTCATTTTTTTGCAAACACCTTGGCATTCTATTTAGAGTGATATACTGTTCCATTGGCAGCCATCATAATTTATTACAACTGACTCAGTAGCAGCCTTTGGGCTAAAAATATAGTCCTAATGGACTCCGGAGATAAAGAGCCTATGTGAACAATGGTGTTTCATTTTGCAAAGCTTGTATTGTATATAAGCCATGGCTTCTTAGTAAATGAAACAATATCTGATAAAGATCTGATAAAGCCCACCCAAGCTTTGGGAAATCTGATGTCAGTGAAAAACTACTGTATAAATTATTTGCTGGCACAAGTAGCTCTGAAGATTTGAGCCAGATCTAAAACAAACCCCTAGATTTCTAGTTTGTGTAGGAGAAATTTCCAAAATCTATATTTGAATTTTGCTGCTTAGATTAATCACTAATAGGGATGCTATTAATAGTATTGGCTACACAAGAGTCCTGTAGTAACATAATCTCAGCGCTTGTAAATTTTACAAAAAGTCCATTCTCTGTCCTGTCCCTTCCCTAAGTATCTGTGGCTTTCTTCCTAATTCCTGATCTTGGAATTTTAATCACATCACAACATGGATGCCTGGAGGTGGGTAGGGGGTCTAGAAAATTCCCCTTCCCCACAGGCAATTTTCACTGTGCAGCTGCTGATCATGTGCCGTATTCATGTTTCCTTCACAGCTGACACCCTGCAAATGTCTAGAGTGATTGGGAATTTTTAATGCATGTTCAGAGGGAAAGGGACTTTCTGTGTATAGTATCTGCATGTAAATTTCCCTGAGGGGAATAGCAGGTAAGAATAAGGGTTTCTTCAGTGTTAAGACAAGCAGCAAGTAAAATTCAGTGCCATCACCAAATTAAAACAAAACAAGACAAAAACCTTGCTGTATGGGGCCATGCATTCAATAAGCCATGGAATCCAGAAATAGTAAAAATAAACTCTTTTCTTTACTTTTTTTCCTTGAATGGAAAAAGTTGTCTTGCAGAGAAATTGCGTTTTCATTTATAAACTTTTTCCTGGATTTCAGAATCTATACCAACATCACTTACTTTTTGTGATTTCTTTTAAAGATTTTAATTTATGTTTTTCCCTTCCTCATCGCTGTGCAATTCACAAATAGGGCTAAAAACATAACGTTACCCTTAAATAGCCATTTGCTCCAATCGTTCCAATAATGATTTGTAATTCTCTGAAGCAACCAAACACATTCTCTAAGTCACGATAGATTCTGGCTGATTGAGGATCAAAATACTCTTCTTCCACTTCCAAAACTTTAATCATATAAATAACTAACACATGCTCCTTTATTTTATTTCTAGTGTTTTTTTTCTTGTTGGAAATGAAGTTTTATTTTGATTTTTGTTTTCAGGAAAAACTCTTACTGTATTCTCTTCTGTTTAGATTCATATACCACATTATCATGATTTCTGATAAAGTCACATTTGGTGAGGAAAATCAAACCCAAATTATAGTAAATCCAGAAAAACTCGATATAAGTACAATTATATTTTTGACAAGTCTAAAATGTTTAAAGAAGAATCTCTAAAGCGTGAACTTCTATCGACACTTGTCTCATCAGTAAAATGTGGCTCATGCTTCTATCCCAGGATTGAATAATCAAGACACCTAATTAACTATACATGCTGTCATTTTTACAACCCTTTTATTTGGATGTGTATAATGGTTTTTCTCTGTAACCTGGTGAACCTAATATAAGGCAATGAATTGTCATATGAGCTAATCTCACCGTATTCTTTTCTGTATTTAAGGAATTAATAAAACTACAAAGACATTATTGCATTCAAATTATTCAAGTCTTTTGTGCTCAGTGAAACTCATTTAAACAAAATTCTGATATGCAACCATTGGTGTGTTTAAAAACAATAAGTGAAGGTGGGGGAAAAGAAGAAAGCTTGTTGGGTGTAGATGACATATCTAATTCTAATATTAATGGACTTTGCACCAGTAGATAGGCTTATACATCTCTGTATTTTCTGTTCCATAAATCACCTGATTAAATATTTTACTCTTGTACGCCAGCAAAGTGCACAGATGTGCTCTTAACCCTTCATCCATTTACATTAATTCCCTTCCATTAACATGGGCACCATGACTGGAGCTTGTTGGGAATTTTTTTACTTAATGGTTTTCATGAGAAAATACCAATTCATTGAAACCTGAAATTTTAATGAAATTTTTCAACTAAACTATCTTGGACCAGAACAGAATTTCAGAAAAGGGGCAGTGGGGGAGAGAGAGAGAGAGACTCTTCAGAACTGCCAATGGCCTTTTGGATTAGGTCAGGGGACTCCCATGCTATGTGAGAGACCCACCCCTGGTAGACGTGAATCTGAGTTACCACATCCCAGGTGGAGTGCTCTCACCTGCAGGCTATTGGCTATTCTGGGATGTTTCTCTCTTTCTCCTCTTTTTTTCAAAAGGTCTCACTTTTATTCCAGTTCTTTTGTTTTCTGGCCAGCCTTACCTATAATTCTCCCTGAGCCATTGATCCTTTCATTTTCTCTGTTCTCCAACAGCAAGTGACCCAATCCCCTCATACCTTGCACTCATCCCCCCTCCCATCACAAATGCTAGCTTCCTACAGCTGCTCCCCACCCCGGCAATGGTGCCCACAAGCAGCCCTGCCATCACGTGACCTCCTTCTCTGACTACTTGACATTGGCTAACCTTCCGGATGTTGAATCCTGACCCTTTCCCAATGAGAAATAACAGCAATGAAGCAGGCTCTCATATCTTGGGGGATGGGTGTGCGGGTGGTCTGGGGACCAGACAAGGGATTAGATCAGGGATTGGCAGCCTTCTGGCAAGACACGGCCTCCATTCCATACTTGGCCCTTGGGCCGCTAACTTATTCTGTGACCCAACTTATTGCTGAGACCCTGTACCCCACCCCTGCTCCTGCACCCTCCCCTCAGCCAAATATCCATCCACACAATGCACCTGCATCCTCCCCCCTGGCCAGGCATCCTATCCTCACCCCACTCCTGCACCCTTTCTCCCACCCAGACCCTGCTCCGCATCCCTATCCCACTCACTGGCCACTCTGTCCCACACACTGGACCCCCGCATTTTTGGACCGACCTCAGAACCTAATGGGGCCCACAAAATCCACTAACCCTGGAATCCCAGAAGAGTTAATCTTGCCTGAGGCCTTGAAACTCTCTGTTCCCCTGTCCCCATGTGGCTGGAACACCAGGGGAGTGAGTTGTCTCAGTTGGGGGACACATCAGTAAGGGGAGGGAGGGGAAGGGGTTGATTTTTTTTTTTTTTTTTTGCTTCACACTTGTGTGGTCCCTGACTGATTTTTCTGTGGGTCAGTCAGGGACTTTTTTTCGCTACCCAAAAAAAGTTCTCCACCCTTGCCAAAAATAAAGACAATGTTGAAACCTTTTGTGTTGGACATAATATTTTACATTATTTAAAAGTAAAACCTGGCCAACAAGCCCCAACTGGGGCCTGGCCCCCATCTGGCTGCAGCATCATAACTCTCTCACACTCCAGCCCTGAGCCCCTCATACACCCCAACCCAGATGCCTGCACCCCCATATCTCCAGCCCCCTTCCATAAGACTCCTGCACCCCTGCATACCTTAACCTTATTGCCTGAGTCCATTATACACCCCAAACCCCTGCCCTGAGCCCCCTTACACCCTAATCCAGACTCCTACACCCCCACATCCCTAGTCTTCTGCCATAAGATTGACAGAAGACAGCCTGAATGCATGCATGAAGCTGGATTTGACCAATTATTCTGTAAACTTCACAGAAAAGTGCAAAAAGATGCAGCAGCAGAATTCCCGTTAAATAAAGTACGTGAGTACACTGTTTCATTTATGCTATTAATTATTAATAATATTAAGAAGTATATTTTCAGTCTTGAAAATGGTCATTTTTATATGGCTCTTTATTGATCACTTGTTCTGAATTTCTATGTAGTTTCGCTCCTTGGTTTGAAAAGGTTGCCTGGATTAGATGATGTCTTACTTTAACTAAGACCTGCTTTTAGTATACTGTAATCTACCTGGGAAACTCTCCCTAGTCTCTGACATGGCTACCCCCTTCATCTTTTCCCCAAATCTTAGGTATATCCAGTTTCCAGATGTCAGCCAGCTGCAAATTGATCAGTATTCGAAGAGTTAAATTCTTCCGTTGCCTTAAACTGTGTAAAAAATTCCCATTACTAGGTCACATTTTTGTGCAAGGTCACATTTTTGTGCAACACAAAAAAACAAGTCCAACAACAACAAAAGCTTTTAAAAAATCCCCCTCTCAAATCTCCATTCTTAAAGGATTTTTGAGCTCTCTGTCTGAATAAGAAAATGTTTCTCATTTTCCCATGTCAAAGATCCCAAAGAGGAAAAAAATGTTTATTTTCCTAGGCAAGGAAGGAATTGGAAGTCCATAATTCACACTGAAGAGAGAAAATTTGGCAAAAGTAATGTATTGGTTGCTTTTTACATTGATTGGTTTAGGTTACCAAATTTTAAGAATGTACAGTTTGTTACAAGAAACAATTTATTAGTTTATTGTAATAAATGTTAATATTTTAGGGACTGTTCCTGTGTATGTCTTTCTGCTGTGTAAATTGTTAATGAACTACTCCTTGTAGTAAGAACTATGCTCAGTTGTGATTGTTTATAGCATTTTCTTTTCAGTATTTCCATTTGCAAAGCATTTAGATACCTTCCCAAACATATTTAAAAGCACAGGGTGTACTCTTACAAATGCTTATGCTTGTGAAGGGTCCCTCCTTTTTGAGTAATGTGATTAAATTAAGGGGATTACTAATATGATTTTTTAACAAATAAACAGTTTGACCAAATGAATTCAAGAAGGACAAAAAAAAAATACAATATACATTAATAAACCTTCACCCACCAGCACAATATGCCATAATTATACAGTATGATGAATGGAGCAGACTGTATAGCTGTGCCCCTGTTGACATACAGCAAGGTGTTAGTTTTGCTCTGCATTCTGTGTTTGAACATTCACTTGACAACATTATGATCAAGGAAAACAACAATTCTTTTACTATGCCATGGTACAATCATCAAAGTTTTCTTTTCAATATTAATATTATTTTATTATGTTTTTGCCCTTGTCTACCTTGCATTAGATTCTGTATTTGTAAGGAAAGAATCCTTTATGAAAAGGTTATGAGATAATTAGGAAAAGGTCTGTTTTACATTTTTGGTTTTGCTTGGGATTTTCAATGCTCACAGTAAAAGGACCTCCAGGCATGTGCTACTGTGAGATAAAACACATTTTGCATCATTGTTTTCACCTTTGCATCTTGGGTCACTGTCTTCACCTTCTCTCTCTAACTGGCCCTGAGGCAGGCATTATCTTGTATCAACATGCATTCTGTGATGTCTTGTCCCCTGAATGAATAAAAACCTTGTTTAGCAAATAGGGGAATGTAGGGACAGACTGAACACTGTAGACCTACTTAAAGGGGGTCTCCTTCATGCTGACCTATTCTTTTCCACATGCTTAAGATGTGGCTCCATCTTCTCATCCTTAGATCTATAAAGGGCTTGGTGCAAGTCTGTGGATCTACGTCTTGTTGATCCACATTCTTAAACATCTGCTAAGCTTTAAAGACACACGTCGTCCTACTGGACAACCTACTCTTAAAGTACATGCCTCAGTGCTACAGACACCCCAAGAAAGGTTACGGTGGAGGAGGGGGTGCTGTCTGAGAGGCAATGAAGGGACACACCTTGTCTCTACCATAACCAGTATGCAGCTGAACTTTCATTTGGAAAGAAAGAGGAAGGGAGGTTCCATCTGTAGTTCTTGGTTCCAAGTCCCATTAGCATGGCTTTACCAGAGAAGAGCAGAAGAATGCCTTGAGGCAGTGTGGACAATCCTTTGCTTGCAGCAGGATACGTGGGGTATGGTTTCTTAACTCCCAGCTGGAGGTGGTGACAAGTCACTCCCCTGCTCTTTGGGAGAAACTCAGAGGAAAAACATCTCACTCACTAGGTTGAGACAAGTATAAGGGCTGGGTATAGCAAGTGATGGAGAGGAGGGGAACAGAGCGGATGAGGCCTCACAGAAAGGAGATGGGGGGGGGGGTCTTGGGTCATGAATTGGTGGGTCCCTCTCTCCTCCCCCGCCCCCCCTTTTTTTTGCTTAACAAGCCTAGGGGTTCCTTGAAATTTGTCACAATCTACAGTGTGTTGACATTCCTTGGGAATTAAAAATCTAATTCAGCAAGACTGATCATTCCACTCCTTAGTCATCTGAGTACTCCCATTAAAATGAATGAAATTGAATATCCACATAAATATGGGATGCATGGTAATTCCTTTAAGTCCTACAACATTCTTCTTTAACTGAATCAAAATATTACTCTGTATTTGGATTAAGTTCAGTTGAAGATGAGATACTGTTTTCTGGCTTTTGGGTTCCATTCACATTCTTAAACTCATAACTCATATATGATCACTTATATGACAAGGTCTCAAGAATATAATGGAAAATAATATTTAAATAACTAGATATCTGATGTAAAGCTTGTTGCTTCTAGGAAATACCTCTGGGAATGCACTGTACGATACTAAGTGTCCTATGAAGTAAAATCAGTCTTGGAAGGAATTATGTGTCTTGATTAGTAGTAATTGAGAGGATTTCTCTGACTCTTTTATGTGCCAGTAAAAAGTATCAGATATTTAGAGTGGTCTAAATTCTGTCCTTGGATGCATGTAAAGTATACAGGCAGTCCCCGGGTTACGTACAAGATAGGGACTGTAGGTTTGTTCTTAAGTTGCATCTGTATGTAAGTCGGAACTGGCGTCCAGATTCATCCGCTGCTGAAACTGACCAGTGGCTGACTACAGGAAGCCCGAGTTGCGGAGCAATCCCTGTTCGTAACTGTGGATCCGACATAAGTCGGATTCACGTAACTCGGGGACTGCCTGTATTTGATTAGCTGATTAATCACAATATTACAATCCTACCTGGGCTCAGGCTTTGGGGTTTTCCTTCCACTTTTTTATTTTTAGGGAAGGGGTTTGGGGTATGAAGGAGTCTTACCTCTGGGCCAATGCAACTCGGTGCGGACAGGAATCTGTTTTAAATGGACCCAACATCTGGATCCCCTGTGCTGATTCTAACTCGGGGTCTGCAAGGCACACTCCAAGGCGGAGACTTCTTGTCTGATGTCCTTCCCTGGGATGTGGGACTCTACAATCCAGCTTCCTTAGGAAGCTGGACCCCCAAACCAAAGCCTGAGACATCCCAAGCTGGTCCCCCAGAGTTCACGCCGCGGTCCCCCCGCCTGGGTCCTCCGCGGCTTTGCTCCGCGTCTCGCTGGTCTGCTGGGGGGTTCCCCCCCAGAAGACGAGGGAGACGCGGAGAAGCTTTTCTCGCCCTGGAGGACACGGGCGGTGGGACTGTGGCACATCTGGGGGAGAGAAAAGCCCCGTTCGTAAGTGCGGATCCGACTTAAGTCGGATCCGCGTAACCTGGGGACTGCCTGTATCTCTTATTGAAATGAATGGGAGCTCCATGCATATTTTTATAATAGGGTAGAGTTTCATCCCCAAAAATGCTTCCCAGGGATAACTGAAAAATGATTGATTCACTTGTTAAGTGTCAGAGAAATTAATTGTCCATCATGCAGTCCAGGAAATAAGGAAACTGGAATTTCTGCATTTTTTAGCTATCAAATTATGTATGGCATCTTGACTTGTGTGTGTATGTCTGTGAAATTGACTGACCACATAGTCACATATAATCTACATTCTATTAAAATAGTGTAGCATCAGGCTGTTAAGGAGACCGTTTTAATGGCACCCAATATCACCAGATAATGAAATATCTCAAGATGGTTAAAGAAAACATAGTTTGATTGAATTTTGACTGGCTATAAACAACTTATCATTGGTTGGGGTTGTGACATGATCATTCTATTATTATGGTCCCTACTTTCCTATTGTTTGTAAGATCTTGATCTGTTTTTAATTGTTTCTGTCTGCTGTATAATTAATTTTGGTAGGTGTAAATCAACTAGGTGGTGGGATATAATTGGTTAGAGAATTATGTTACAATATGTTAGGATTGGTTAGTAAAATAATTGTTTAAGGTATAGCTAAGCAGGACTCAAATTTTACTCTGTAAAATGGGGTCCTAGAAGGAGACAAGCTAGAAAGGAAAAGAAGGAACAGAAAAAATAGGAAGGAAAGACTGGGAAGAACTCCCCTCCAAGACACAGCCCAAGATCAGAGCTGCCAAGAATCCTTTGCCTGACTATGATGTGCAGCAACTAGAGTCCAGACAAGACTGACTTTGCCTGGCCAACGGGGGAAGTTTGCCTGCCTTGATCAAGATTGTTTAAGGTAGAGCTTTAAGGTAGAAATTTCCACTACATGCATCTGACGAAGTGGGTCTTTGCCCACGAAAGCTTATGCTCCTACGCTTCAGTTAGTCTATAAGGTGCCACAGGACTCCTCGTCGCTTTTGCAGATTCTGACTAACACGGCTACCCCTCTGATACTTGATCAGGATTGGTGAGCCTGGCACTGTCTGCCTAGCATGTGTATTGTGCTTGCTTGATAACTGTTAATAAATAGAGAGTACGGATATTACTGTATTACTCTCACTGCAAACCCAAAGGAAATTACATCAGGGATCTCTCACTGCAAACCCAAAGGAAATTACATCCTGAACTCTAGAAATTGGGTAAGGATGGGTATTTTAATTAACAGGGCTATTCCTTGAGCCCTAAGAACTGGATAAAGGGGTGTGCCCCTAGAGTGTGGCAGTGACAGAAAATGTTGTGCGAGTAACACTGCCAGGTTTCACTAACGAAATAATATATTCAATTGAAACTACTGGGCCACGCTCTGTCTCTTGCAGCGTATACTGAGCTAAAAGATAAATGCAGAGACAAATTTGAGAGGTGGTAAAGAGCATGCTAGGCAAGGGAGTGATTACTAAATCAAAAGGCCTTGTAATAGTACCTAACAGTGAGAAAACCATGAGGTTATGTGTAGATTTTAGAAGGAAATATGTCATCACTTAGCCCAGTGGTCATCAACCAGTAGATTGGGATCTACAGGTAGATCTTGGAGCCTTTGACAGGTGATCCTGACTGGTTTGGCTAAGAGGCTATCAAGTGCCTGAACTACACCTGCTCCTCCCCCTACTGCAGTGCACCTCCTGCCCTTTGCCTTGGAATGGCTTCCTCTCACCCCTGGGAACCTCCTGTTTGCTATGCAGGGCAGGGGGGAAGAAGAGGGGCACTGATGACAAGGTGCTCCCTCTCCCACCCCGTATCCTAACTCCACAGAGCAGAGTGGGAGGCACAACAAGACTTGGGAGGAAATTTTCTGGCTGCTTTTGGGAGCAGTACAGAGCCAGGGTAGGGGTGACCCTGCCTTATCCCCACTGCACCACCACCCAGGAGCCTCCTGAGAGGTAAGCAGTGCCCAGTCAGATCCTACATCTTGAAACCCTATCCCAGTCAAGAACCCCCTCTTGTACCTCATTCCCCTGCCTTAACCCCGAGTACCCTTGCTGCCAAACACCCTCCCAGAGCCAGCACCTAGAACCCCCTCTGGCACCTCAACTGCCTGCCCCAAGCTTAGCTCAGAGCCCCTCTCATACTCCAAATCCCTTAGTCCAAGACTGGAACCTGCACCCAACCCTCTGCCCAAGCCTGGTGAAAGTAAGCAAGGATGGGGGAGGGAGGGAGGATGGAGGGAGCAGGAGCGGGGCCTCAGGGAAGAGACACAAAGGAAGCGGGGCAAGGGTATTTGGGTTTGAAATAGATCTTGGATTGTACTTAAATTCAAAAAGTAATCTCATGCTAAAAAGGTTGGAGACCACTGACTTAGCCTAATCATCTGCCCTCTCCTCCCCCCCCCCCCCCCCCCGCTATTTAGATCTGTTAGAGGGTGCAATGTTCATAAATTCTCTAGATTTAACTCAAGGGAAAAGAAAATATAGTGGCAAATGCCTTATTGAGAATGGAGGGATTCTGATGCATAATTTGGAAGCTACACTATACACTATATTTGTATTAATGGTATGACATTGGCAGACCAAGTGCCATTTCTACTGAGGTCCCCATATCTTGACTGAATACTGAGGAATATATAGCAGGAGTCCGTGTGGCTCACCTGTGTGTTAAGCCTTGTCTAAACTATTTTGGCAACATAACAGGGAGAGCATTTACACTACAGTGTGACTTTTGTCAGGAAAAACACCTGTTTTGGTGACGACAAATTTTCCACCCCTACGAGAGAATTTTGTCTTTTCCCCTCCCTTCATTGTTGACAAAGAAACAGTGTGGACTCTGCTGTTTATTTTGTCCAGAGAACTGGCTTTCACCGGTATCCCACAATGTGTGCCCTGAGACTGTGCTCATTCCAGAGAACTGGCTTTCCCACAATGTGTGCCCTGAGACTGTGCTCAGTGTTTTGTGATCTCTGCTGCCCTGAAGGTATGTGCCCACCCCTTTCAAAGCTCTGGGAAGTATCTGACAGCTGAGTGAGCTGCTCCATTTGGGGAAAAAAGATGGAATAAGTCATTGGTGTGCTCCTTCCTGTTTTGCCCTGCTAAGGACACAATGGCAGGCAGACTGCTGCTGCAGGGGGAGGCCTGGAGAGACTGCTGTGGTGCTTTGACATTCCTCAGCATGGAGAGGCTCGCAGAGCAGTTCTGCTTTCTCACAACACTGCACTGTGGAATGCTCACTCACATTGCTTTGCTCTGTCCACAGCGGAGTTAGCAATGTGGCCATGAAATGTTGACAAAGGGAGGCATAAAAACTGGTTTTCACTTTGGCAACTTTTGCATGTCAACAGCAGTTTTGTCATCAAAACTTCCCAGTGTAGATATAAATTCCCAGTATAGATGTAGTCTTAATATTGTAAAAATAGACATTAGAATTATAAAAATGTGTTTTAGTGTTTAGACTTCATTGAATGCTTGTGAGTTGCTACCTGCTTTAATCTCACTTGTAACTTGTACATCCCGTATTGTAAGGTAATATTTGAACTGCTGTATTGTGAACTTCTTGGCTATGTAAAGAGCAGAATAGAGACATTAATTAGTGTGAAGGCTGATTTTCAACACAAGGTCTTATGCCCTTCCCAGAAGGAGAGGCCCATTGATACCAGAAAGACTGTTCTGGGAAGTTACAATTAGAGTGTTTTTGTTCTGCACTTCTGTGAAGATGAGTCATGCAACTGGATTCCTCTCATCAGCTGAATTTGCAGCTCAGAGCACAAGAAGGGGGATACAAACTGCAAACAAAAGGAACTTGAAAATCTCTATGTTACTTAGGCTCTGGGGCACAAGGATTTTGTAGACATAAGCATGAGAGCCCCAGCTGTTTAACCTGGGTTCGCTCTAAAGCACATATCAGCAGGCTATATAATGGAAACATTTATTACCTTTTGGAACTTAAGATTGTAACTCGTTTGTGTATATGTGTTTACCTGCTTTAATCTTGTAAATCTCTCTTTTTCTTTTACTATGTAATACTATTTTATATAGCTGCTTATAGGATTGACTACAGACATTGTCATTGGTGTGAGATCTAAAGTACAACTGATCTTGGGTAAGTGATTGGTCCTTTGGGACTGAGAGTAACCTGAATATTGATGTGATTCTTGGTGCAAGGGACCTTCTATTACTAAGATTTGCTTACCTGGATGGTAAGATAGATTAGAAGAACCTAAGGGAACTATCTGTAATTCCACATTAGGGATGGTATGGGTCTGCAGAGATCACATTTGATAATTGGTTGGTGACTTCTAAGTATAGAACTCTCAACCAATTTAGGGTATGTACCCTGTTTCCTAACAGTCTGCTTCCTCAGGCTCTTGAGTCACTGCAGGCAGTGTTATAGTATCCTTGAAACGATTAAAATTAAAAATAAAATAAAGCTCAGAAAGATTTGTCCTGGTAAAAGAATTATTTATATTGTTACAGTCACCTCAGGAAATATAGAAAAAAAATAAATCTAAATGTAAAATATGTGGTAATTTATTTTACTATTACTATTACTAAAATATTATTTCCTGTAATCTCTGGTAAGTTTTAGAAAGATCAAATCTCCTATAAAACAAGAACCTATGAGTCAAAACTTCAGGAATCTTATTTGCAAATACAGCTGTGTAGAGTGTAGGGATATTTTTCCTCTTGATGGCTACACATGCAATATAAGTGACAACAGAGCTGCCTCAAGTCTCTACTAAAATTCACTATCACCCATAGGAGCCTGATTAAATTTGGCAGGTGTCTTACTTTATCAGCTAGCATGTAATATCACACACTCACTAGAAGTTGCATATTTGAGAAACCTAGAAGTAATGTGAGTTTTGTCGACTCTGTTCAAGTCTGTAAGGCAGTATAAAGAGACTGTATCTTATTATCTGGCATTCTGAATGTGTCCTGTTGTAGGATGGTTTCCCCTTCACCCAGTAGCCTCAGCATGTTTTGAATTTGAAAAAAGTTTAGCCATTTCATTTTTACTTCTTTTTATATAATTTCAGAGGCTCCACACACTGAAAGGAAAAACCTAATCTTTGCATCAACATGGAGCATCCTGCATGCAATGTACTGCAATGATTACAGCCTCTGATCTTACTAATTCTCTTCTCAGACTGCTATGGGATAACCTATGCTTCAGGATCAAGGCCAACTCCATTATTGAGAGAATTTGGATACAAAAAGGATTAACAAAAAGTAATGCTATAATACAAGATGCTAGGTGGGTCTCCTTTGATTACATGTTTAATCAAAACTTTCACCTCTAGATGAACATGTTACGAAATATGGAAACAAAAATAACCTTTTATGAATTAATTGTAGGTGGCTTAATACTTAATACAATTATGGCTCAAAGAAAAATGGAAAAAAAGAGACTAGCTTTCCTATTGCAACAGAAACCTCGGAGGATATCTGGTTTCATGTGAAAGATATTTAAAGGTCTTTATCCTTGTGATTCTTCCAGAACAAAATATTAAACAGCTACTATTGAACTCCAGAATGTTTGTTTTAAGACTAGACTGACAACACACAGTGAATGTTGGAGATACAATCAATCACATGTCAATCTTTCGCATACCCTCAATACCTATCTCAAATGCATGTATTCTGGAACACTATATTCAGTGCTCACTCAAAAAAATGTAAGTCTTACTTTCTTTCTTTCTCTCTCAAATCTTGTGTATTTTAGTGGTGCTGGCATAATCAATTAACATTTATAAATGGATTGCAATAACTTTTAGTGGCCAAGACATTTCTTTTGAGAAAATGAAAGTCTGAATTTCTCCCTCATATGCAGACTGGTTTAGTGAGCTCTCTACTATTGTGTGAATGGAAAAAATGACTCTAACAGAAACACTTGGAAAAAATACAAGGACATCTGGTCAAATATAAAACTATTAAATACTAAACTGCAAAAATATACATTAGTCCCTCACACTCACAGGTTATGTTCTCACTTACCTATTTAGTCACTGTGATTGAAGCACTGCAGGAGCTTTGTGAGTTCAGGTTTTGCAAATAATGAATTTTCTTTATGTACTGTTTCAGTCTTGTGCATGTATTTATATATTTTTTGGTTTTCAACATGTTTGTTTTTATTGTAATATTAAAAACAACGTTTAAAAATACTATGTTAGGTTCCCACTAATGGCCAGGCTAAGGAAAATGGAAAGATTCTTTGGATATGAAACATGCAAATGAGAAACTCAATGATGACCCTCAACAATATTGACCCAACTGGACAAGACATTTCAAAATGGCTCCAACTCATTTGTTTGATACTAGGTTGTTTTTATGCTATCAAAAAGGCTGAATATTATTTTTTAGGAAGACTTACATGGTATATCATTCACACTAAGGGGTACATGTGTTTCTCCTCTTGTTACAACTTCCAGTTCCTATACTCTGAAGACTGTTCTCTCACATCTGAATTTCTAGCATCTCCATGTTTGTTGACAATGCGCATGATTAAAATGGTATTTTCATATTTCAGTGCAGTTGAGGCCCCTTAAAGCAGAGGGCTGCAAGTGCAAAAAAGAGATATGTTGTTCCCTAATGGCTTATTACCATCACATTTGCAATTCAGATCAGTTCTAAATTGACTGAATTTTTTAAACACATAGCAGGCAGTTTAAACTAATGATTGTCTGGAGGTTCACATCTGACATGAACTAAGCTTCTGTTCAAAACAAATTGCAAATAATTCCTCCCTTAGAGTCAAAATGTCACTTTTTAAACTGTGCATTGTTGCCAGATTTTGTCAGTTACATAAAAAAACCCTTCCCATACAGTGACTACTCTACAGTTGAAAGTACTGGCTTTTTTATTGCTTTGTTTAAAAGAATATATATATTCACATCTCAATAGTCTGACTAAAAATCCTTTCCCCGCCCCCCTCAAAAATCCTAATGGTAAAGTAAAAGGCCCTTGGGGCAGTGGTAGGCCTGAGTTGCTTAGCAACCCTCAGCAGGTAGTAGAGATTCAGCTGCAGCTGTCCTGATTCTTTCCTAAGAATCTCCTTATTACTGTTTGTGTTAATCTTTAACCAGGCTTTTAAGCCATGGTCTTTCTCTTTGGTCCCTTGTTGTTAGATTGCAGAGGCCTACTCAAATGTTATCCCAAAGGTAATGTATTAAGGATGACTATTGAATGCTTGAAGAATGATAAGCTCTGAAAGGATTAGACTTGCATGTTCTAACTAACTTTATTTTACATGCCATGCTCAATATTATGAAAATTGTACCCTCTTAGGAAAAATGGTCAGTTTTGACACACAGCTTTAAACTTGCTTTTTCTTCCAGCTGAATAAATTTGGTAAAGCTGCCTCTACGTCATTGCTTCTTTTAACATATTCTCCTGCAATGATCAGTCAAGGAAGTAATTCAAAATTCAGCATTTCAAAGTCTTTCAAAGCATAGGCAAAAAGCCAATCCCCGTCCCCCATGCCCACCCTGAAAAAATCTAGGAGTATTTGTGAGCATATATTATTGAGAATTGAGACAGCCTTTTCCTTGAAAGAAATAGTCCTGCTAGTACATGTTAGAGAATCTAGATAATCTCACTGCTTGGTAGTTGTTCATGGGAAGGTTGTTGCAAATTTCTAAAGGAAGAAAATTAATAACAAGAAAAAAATCCAGCTCTGATACCACCCTTTTTATGCTCTTTTTTCACTCTCATTGTTATGGGAGCAAATAAATACAGGCACAATGAATGTTGTTCACGTAGACATGCTAATTGATTTGTTCTCAAAGTGTTTGCGTGCACGTAAAAAAGGCCTATACTGTACATCTCCTCTGAGAAAGTTCTTTACTTTCAGCTGCCAGTTACATTTTAAACTTGATGTTATATATTGATGTGATGTGATCAACAATATGTTACATGTTCCCAAACCCTATGTATGATGCATCAACATATCATTCGTGTTACCTCTTTGGGTAACAACTATAGGGAAATGGTAGTACAGTAGAAAGTGGAATTTGGGTAATTTTGGGGGAGAAGACCAATATTCTCCACTCTCTAGTTCTGATATCTTGTGTAGCCATTTAAATAATCTGGTTACTTTGCCGCCCTTCCTCATTTCTCTCCTTTGCCAGATGCTTCTAAAATTAATCTAAATTATAGAGCTGGCTGGAATTTTGCAAGAGGAAAAATATCTCACCAAAAATATGATTTAGTAGAACCCATTTTTTTGTGAGCTGGAAAATGTCTATTCCAATGGGTGAAAAAAAACCTTAATTTTTCTCACAAGACATTTTGAAACAATTTTCATGTTGCATTAATGTTTGTAAACAAATAAAAAGTGATATTTTGTTTTGTTGTGGCTTAGTTTGGTTTTCTGAAAAAATGTTAATTCAAAATGAAAAATGATCTTTTTACTCAAAATGAATACTTTTCCAGAATATTTTGATTTCATACACAATTTTCCTTTTTTTTCCACCAAGAAAAATATTTATTTACTTACTTACATAACATCAATATGTGGGGAATTTGATAATATTTTTTAGTTTGGGGTTTCATTGGAAAGAAACAACATTTCTGTGAATGCATTTCAAAAAATAATTTATTTGAAAAATTTGTGCTGAAAATAGTTACCGTTGTGCAATCAGTGCTAGCGAAAACATGGGCATCAGCTATGATTTCCTGATGCTTAGAACACAGATAAATGGGATACTTCCCCCAATAGGGAAATTTTCCCAAATCCCCATTGTTTTTTAAAATAGAAATTAATTCTAAAGAGATTTCATTGCATAGAGGCAGCAAACAAAATTATTTGTAAGGCCTCAGCTACATTATGTAAATCTAGCCTGTTGCAGGACTGAGATCCTGACACAAAGGTTGTTTGCTCTTTTATCTTACACAGCAGGGATCCTCAGTTTAACCTTGGTCCCATATAGTGCTGTACCATTGGACTTTGCAGGGCTGTGGTAAAATTTAGGACAGTGGTGGGGAACCTTTTTTGGGTTGGGGGCTGCTGACCCACAGAAAAATTAGTCAAGGACTGCTTACAAGTGAGAAGCAAAAAAGAAAAACCAAGCCTTGACTGACATAGCCCCCAACTGAGAAGTAGAAAGGCACTTCCCACATTCCTCTTGCACACCAGAGCCTAGGGGGCCCAGGCTAGTAGATTTTGTGTGCTCCAGGCACAGGGTGGGATGCCAGAGGGGCTGGAGTGCCAGTGCAGTCTTCCCAATGCATTGGTGGTGGGGAAGCCTCAGAGGCCAGGCAAGCCAGGGGTTTCATCCAGCCCCCAGGTCTTAGGTTCCCCACCCCTGATTTAGGAACACAATTCTATTTTACCTACACAGCAAGCATAAATTATGTTTTAAATGTCTGGCACTTCCAGATTGTTCTAGATCTAGTAATAGATTACTGTTGTAAATGAACCCTCAAAAACAACTGCATTAGTGCTGCAAACAAAATGAAATGGGTAACCTCCTCTCAATTTGTATTTAATAGACAAGAAAAAATATGGCAGATGCATGCTTCACTGAAAAAGAACATGCACCAGCATTAAAAATCCCTTACAATCTTGCTGTATCATGCCACTGTGAATTATGGGGGTGGGTTGCATTAGTAATTAGTAGGTAGAGCAGATGGTGTTAGCTTGGTCTATAGTGATGTGTCCATGGAAATAATCTGACAAGTGAATGTTCACTCTAACAGAGATTTTCTTTATTTAAATGTGTTTGAACCAAATATTCAACCTTTCAGATGACTTCCTATGAGAAAAAAGCCATGGTAGCATTCAAAAAACTAGAGGAAACACACATAAGCATTAAAAACTCTTCTCAGTATAATTTTAGTGAATATAAAATATAGATTTAATACTCTGATCAGTGACAGAGCCTGAGAGAATCCAGTCCTTCAGATTCAGGGTAATTTTAATTAATCTCTGTTGACTATGTTCAGCTCAGGAGATAGTGCATGGTATGAATACATTCTTTATTTTAAGTAGATTCAAAAGAGTAAGTGGCTGCTTATTTGTAAGATTATAGCCATCATCAAAAACATCCTGTATCAACATGATTACAGGGAAGTGTGTATGTGTTGTTTACTGACTCATTCCCTGATAATTATGGTGTATACTTGAAAGACTCAGGAGGGGACCTAAACTTCCTAATATGACTCTACCTTGTTCCCCTTGGCCATGAGCAGACATATGTCATAGCTATATGTGTCTCTGACCCCCTAATGTGTGCCAATCCACAATGACAATCCTTTCTTCAAAGCCAAGAGGTGGTGGGGGACTAGATATATAGTGCTTGCATGACATGGTAATGAACATTGTATAAATGCCTAGACAGAGATTAAGTGGAGGCAGTAAGATTTTCACTGTACTCTTCACTTTTCATTGGCTGTTCTAGCACTATTTTCTTCTCCCACGGAACAGCAACCTTCTTAGTGGATGGTATATTGACACAAACTGGTGTTGTCTCAGACACAGGAAACATTATCTCCAAGCTAATGCAGTTATCTTCCACATTAAAAAAGTGCTTTAGATTTTTTATCAGGTTCTTTTCATATCATGTGTTCACCTAGCTTGATTCTCTGGTGAAAATAAAAAGAAATAGATCCCCTAAACCATCTTGCAAACACTTGTTTAGGTTTCTGCTGATTAGGCTTTTGCTGTATATTTGTTATGGTACCATCCATCAAAAGCTAATCTCTCAATAAAAGTCAGGCTGCATGTTGCACTTTATTTATTCATCTGACCCTTGAGAGAGGAGAGAGCGAGCTTCCTAATAGTGATAAAAATATTGTCTAGCTCCAGATGTCAAAGAACTGAATCTTACTGTTTCTGTTTTGTCACTTTGATGCAAAAGGGACACACAAGGAATGGATTCACTAGAAATAGCCCTAGAGCTGCTTAACAGACTTGCCATGTTGCTTCATCGAAGAAGCCTTAACACAGGGGACCACAGTCTCTATTGCAATGCGCTGATTCTCCCACAGGTATTATGTCAAGGCACATTAATTTAAGCAGCTTTTGTCATATAAGGTTACAGTACAGGTTCTGTAGATTCAGAATGATGGATGTGCCTCAAAAAGGCTCAGAGGTTTGTTTTTGGTTGGATAAGCACTTAAAAAGTGTGGATACTTGTCTGAGCTATCTGAACCTTTCTTTGTCAGAAAAATTGGGCTGGAAATCTCCTGAAAAATGGGTCCCTCGGGTAAGCTTATCATTTGTAATTATTTCTGGAAATAAGGCATACATTTGGAGTGGTGACAGTAATTAACCATCAGAACAATTTACCATAATGGTGGATTCTTCATCACTGACAACTTTTAAATCAAGGTTGGCTGTTTTTGTAACATATCTGCTGCAGGAATGAGTTTGGGAAAGTTCAGGTGTTGGACTAGCTCGGTGGTTCTCAAACTATTTATTTTTTTCACGGACCACTTGACAATTGCTGAAGGTCTCCGTGGACCACGTAATGATCTTTCCAAATATCTTTCCCACTCTGCAGAAGCTACTGAGCTGGAGCTGGGCAGGAGAGGGAGGATCTTTCCCTCTTTCCCCTTAGCTTTGACTGCTAAGGAGGGGGTTCTCTCCCCTACCAGAGAAGCTATCTCTCCCTGGCAGCTGCAGCCCTGGAGCTGGGAAATGTCTCTTTCTCTGGCCACAGCAGCCCTGCATGTCCTAAATTTTCTCCACCCCTCTTCTCACTCCACTTCCCCCCCACTTATGGCCTCTCTATTACCCCCTTCCCCCCGCAAAAAAACCCCACCTCACCTTACATTTGCCCCTTCCATGGACCACAGTTTGAAAGCCTCTGAACTAGATGATCAAAATGGTTCCTCATTGCCTTGGAATCTATGAAAAAAGAAAGACCCATTATCATACTAATTATAGATCTAATCAAACAAACTGAGCATGATACTTACATGAACACAATAATGTGTTAACGTTGCAGGATGTATCCCTATAATATTAAGAAACAAGTTATAAAGAGACAAACTATGATATCAAGTAGTCTTTGTAAACTGTTTCATGTAGATTGTAAGCTCTTTAGGGCAAAGACTATCTTTTAGTTCTGAAGTTCAGAGGGTAGCTGAGTTAGTCTGTACAGGATAAACTTAAAAAACAACAAATAGTCTGGTAGCACTTTAAAGACTAACAAAACATGTAAATGGTATCATGAGCTTTCATGGGCACAGCCCACTTCTTTAGATGACACAAAGAAGTGAAGAAGTTATCTGAAGAAGTGGGCTGTGCCCATGAAAGCTCATGATACCATCTACATGTTGGTCTTTGTTGGTCTTTAAAATGTTACCACACTGTTTGTTGTTTTTTAAGTTTTAGTTCTGAGTTTTGTATAGTGTCTATAATGGAGTATTGGTCTATGACTAGGGGGTCCTAAATACTAAATAATATTCATCAATAATTTTCTTACAATTATTATAACCTTGTAAATGGAGAAAGAGGTAGAGAGAGGTTGATTTTGAAATATATGTATCAATAAATAGGACACTTTTGAATGTATGAATCATTCAGTACCCAACGCAATTCATAGACATTAAATGCATGTTAGATATTTAATATTTTCCATTCTTCTTTGTGCCACATGCAATGTATGGAATATCAACATGAGTCTTAAAGTTGCTTTAATGTACTAGCTTCAATGATCTTCAGTTTTTGAGACTAACACTGTCATTCATTTACTCATGATTTGAGAAATGATCTGAACTCTTCAGTGTAAACGTACCTTATTATTTATTAAAAGAAAAAAGTGCTAATGAAATAAGTAATATGTTAGACACAAAAAGAGGATTTTTGTGGAACTTGCTATTAAATAGTGTCAGCAAATATTTTTCATTTTTATGCTTGGCAAAGTATTTCCTGCTGGTAGATTGGATAAAAATGCACAGAAATCCCTGCAGTATAGTTTTACTTAAATGTTATGGAACTTTGACTAGTATCATAATTTTCCAAGTTGGCATGAATGTAGCAATGTTCAACAAAAGGCCCTGCCTATGACTTTGATCTCCAGTAATTATTTTTAAATGAAAACAGTGTCAATTAAAAACCCAAGACATGATGGCTTCTCAACATGTCACTGACTTTTGTGAAATTGAACAAGTATTTCAACGACCCCCAACATAGTAGTATTTCTGTATGCTTCACTTACTCTGTTTCCACTACAGGCAGTCCCCGGGTTACATACGAGATAGGGACTGTAGGTTCGTCCTTAAGTTAAATCTGTATGTAAGTCGGAACTGGCTTCAGCCGCTGATCAGTTTCAACAGGCTGAATCTGGACGCCAG